GCCACTTGGCCTTTCATCTTTGGTTTCATGGGACGGATGCATCCATCACTTATCAGCCAAAAGTGGGGACCAGAAACAGTTCAAGCTAGCTTCTCTGTATTGACTTACCTTCCTCCTCCTCGTCTGCGTTATTGGTGCACATAGAGCAATGTGAGATGATATTTGGATCTTGAACAATTGTCCATACTTGTCTCTCACCTCCACCATTGGGTCTGGCTCCAGCTCCACCAGTGGGCCGTTCATCTGTTTGCATCGATCAGATGAATCCATCAGTTTTCCTGCCAAAACTCAAAACTAAGGACTGAAAAGCTTCTCTGTATAGACTTACCTTCCTCCTCCTCAGCTGTGTCTTTGGGGCACGTAGGGCAGTGTGAGAAGATCTTTGGGCCAAGAATAATCATTCATCTCTCTACTACTCACCTTCACCATTGGGTCTGGCTCCAGGTCCACCAGTGGGACCTTCCTCTTTTTAAATCAGTGAAGAGATGGATCCATTTTCAGCCAATAGTTTGAACAGCAAGTGATCAAGCCAGCATCATGTAGAGACTTACCTTCCTCCTCTGAACAGGGTGACATCCTGAGTTGATTGTTGGCATCTTGAGAATACTCATCCATCTACATTGTGGGCACTCACCTTCGCCATTTGGTCTGGTTCCAGGGCCGCCAAGGGGGAGTTCCTACAGGAGAACACATACAGTACATGAAAAGATGAATACAGAAATTTTGCACATTGTGGGCACACCTCTCGCAAGAAGAGCAGGCACCTACATCCACGTCCTCAATTTGATCAACTGAATTTCCAAAAGCAATAACACATGTAAGATTGTCACACTGGAATCAGCCATGATGGCAAAAATGGGAGGAACTACATACCAATGTCTTCTTCTTCCTCCTCCTCCTCCTGTTTACACGAAAAAGCAAGCAAGGTTGAATGGATGCTGAAAAGACACCGCCAGCAACCCAACACCCTCACGAGCAGATGCATACCTCCAAGTCCTCAAGTTCATCCTGTATCTGATCCACTGGATCGACATTGGCAACAATATCACTGTTCAGGTAGGTCGCACATGAATGTCAAGTTAGCAGGAAGGCAAAGGCGGAAGCACATACCAATCTCATCAACGTCCACCTCGTCTTCTTCTTCTTCTTCTTCCTGTTCATCAAGTGCATCCTCTATTTCGTCCTTCATCCAGGAGTCAGGGGATATTACCGATGCACTTATTCACCGATTTTTTTGATATGGGACTCACCTTAAGTCCCCCTCTTAAAATATCGGTGAATTCCCCTTTTTGGAAAAGAAAATATCGGTCCTAATCGAGACCCAACTGGACCCTCCCAGACCTCCGCCTGTTACCAGTTTGATCCCAGACTCATCCCAGACTCATCCCAGACTCATCCCAGACTCATCCCAGCCTCCAAAATGTTGAGTGGGACGGCTTCATTTTCTCCCCAGCTGCAAATCAAGAATGGGATCTGATGGAGATGGATCCTCCTCTGGAGAAGACGGAGACCACCAAAAGTGGCTCAAGATCTTACATGAACAGTTTGCACACTGCTGTAGGGGAGCTTCGAAAGAAACGTGCACAGGTTGAGTACGCAGAAGCAGATCTCGAGGTCAAACGAGCCAATGTTGTCTACTTTGAGCGGATGGTTGAGCTTCAGAAGGGAGGATTCATTCCACCGGTGGGCAGTCTCCAAGTGCCATTACAGCCAGATGTTTCGGTTTTTCCATCTTCCAAACGTAAAGGTGCTCAGAATCCAGGTGGAAGGAAATTCCAGAGGACTCTTTTCCCGGGTCTTTCGCTCCAGAGCAGTTCACTTATGGTGACAAAAGATTCATCTTGCAATCTGGAATGCTGGTCTCTGTAGGTGTTCACTTCCGGAGTTTTGTTGCCATGCCTGACGGATACTTGTTCTATGATGGTAGGGGGATGTCAGCCAGCGGAGAGCGCTATAAATTCTGCAGAAGAGCATCCGGTGGCCAGAGAGCAGGCAACCACTATTATGCAGTGGACTCCCTGTACTATGAAGTCGTGGACATCGATCACTCCTCACAAGATCCCCCTCCAATGGAGTTTCAGAAACACCTCTGGGCGGCAGGATTCAAATACGAAGACCCACCACAAGATCTAACCCAGAAACCACCACCATCTGAACATGAGTCAAAAGCAAAAGGAACAAGTCAATCCCTGGATCAAAGGGATGAAATGAGCACAAGCAGTGGAAGCAGCAGTGACAGTGACGGAGACGACCACATACCAGAGCCAGAGGGATCAAAACATGGCAAACTCAAAGCCTATGTCCAGAAAGTCGAAAAGGACAGAAAGGAAACCCTGAAAAGGGAAAACTTGGAAAAAAAACGTGCTGGTAAGACTTCCGCTTCAAAGAAGCCTACCGAAAAGAAAGACCCAAAGCCACCAAAAAAGTCTAAGTCTGTAACGAACAAATCCAAGTCCCCTCCAAAGAAGTCAAAGTCTCCTCCCAAGAAAGCTTCAGTCAAGACTAAGCGAAAGCTTCCCAAGAAGCCAGAGTCTCCCAAGGAACTCCCTGCCAAAGTCAAGAGAAAGAAAAAGGTCAAGGTCAAAACAATGACAGAGGTGGAGGCAGCACCTCCAAAGAAACGGCGCACTGGGAACAGCAATTCGTCGAGGAGAAGCCCGGCAAATCTGGGATGGTCGTACCATGATAGTACCCTGCCTGGGGAAGATTTCTATTGTCGAAACTGTACAGGCAGGATAGCTGTGATGGATCCTTTCCTCACCCACAGAGTACGTCGAAATGAAGATGGTGATGACGACGATGATGGTGAACTGAAAGAGTTTCAATACCATACGGGTTTCTATTGCCTTGGCTTTCCCTTGGAGGATAGAGAGAGTTTCCTGGCTGCTGACTTTGGTGATGGTCGAGGTCCCACGCTGCAAAACTTTTGCGAGGATTACTGGAGAAAAACGAAACAGTACTTGAGGAAGTCCTCTGGTAAAAGTGAGGCTGGGGAAGATGATGAGATCCAAGATGAGGCTGATTGAGGGTTTCTGTGAGACTTGGGGAAGACTCTGGGACATCTGTGAGGCCTTGGATGGGCTTGGATGGGCTTCGATAGGCAGCCACACTTCACCGATGGATGTCGAGATTCACCGATGGATACCGATAGCCCTGGGCCATTTCATCGATGGGCCCCTAAATCTAATTGAGTACCCAATCGGTCAATCGGTCAATCGGTCAATCGGTGTTACGCCCCTGAGCCGGCACAGCTGCGCCGCACCCATACTATGGCTCCTATGGCATAATCTCATCGGTGGGCTACCATGGACTACAAGAAGGAAGATATGGAGATTACCAGAAGACTGTTGAGGCAGCCTATGCCCTGGACGGCACCATCCAGTTCCCTTCTACCTTGGATCAGCTCAGAGAGACATTGTCTAACGACAGGTTCAAGGCAAGCAAGGAATGGTTGGACCAGTGGAAGGCCAGGGAACGGAAACCTTATTCCAATCCCAAGCCACCTCCTTTTGATCCGAAGAAGATGAAGGAAGGACTCCCAGCTGCTGTCTTCTGCCAACAGTCACAGCCAGGCGAAGCCTGCTACTGTTGCGGCAGCCCAGATCACAAGCTTCCGCAGTGCAAGGTCAAGTCCAAGATCCCCACACCTGAATGGGCGATCAACAAGTTCAATGGCATGAAGAAGTCCTTCATGCTGCAGTACCATCAACAGCAGATGCAACTACTCCAAGGAGTGCCTACCACAGTGGTGACGGCACCAGCTCCAGCTCCAGCCAGAGACACTTCGACCAGGAGTGGATTCAGTGGAATCCCTCCACCTCCTACGAGCCAGTCAAACTTCCAGCAGTTTCCCATGTCGAGCCAAGCCTCACAGGCCAGCGCGGCAGGGTCATTACAGTTTCACTTTCAACACCATCAAGTTGGCGGAGTCCCGCCCCTGATGGCAAGAGATGACTCTACAACAGACAGTGAACCGGAAGAACCCGGAGACTGGGGGCAATTCGCCGTCGATTTCCTTGGAGGAGTACCGCTTTATGCAGAGGAGTGGAGGCCTGATGAGACATCATCAGAAGAAAGCTCACACTCCGGCTACGGCCATGATCAGCTTGACGAGGGAGGCCCAGACGGTGTAAGCATCGGATCCGGCCTTATCCTCCAGTGATACAGTAACACCCATAATATACTTGTGAGTCGTTCTGATTTCCCTGACACCGTCTTCAACACAGATCCGTTTGAAGGAGTGATCCCTCGGAATGGGCAATACGATGATCAGAGCTGTTGCTTCGACTACAGCTCGGATTCAGAGAATGAGTTTCGCTGCTTGTACCGTGGACCCAGCCGGCGTCATATCCAACTCCTCTCCAAAGGACTTCACCCCCACAAGAACCAACAAAAGTTGCCCCTCTAGTCTTGCAGCTAGATTGTGCAACACCCTCTTATTGAACCAGCCACCTCTCTGCTCCTGCACCTGACTCTCCTACTGAGTGTGTGTGCTCCAAAGGATAGAGCCCCAGACAGAACTGCAGCGTGGTGTGGCTCAGATATCAACAACCAATTGGCTCTATCACCTCTCCACCTGATTGCAGAGTGACTCTTCAGTGTCTTCTGTCATTCCAACTGAATTGAGTACCCTCTCCACATCTTGGCTTGACTCCCTGCTGAAGGTCTGATTGCCCTCCAACAGATTGAGTACCAGCCCTGAGACAATACCCAGTGTCAACCAGTAACACTCTATCAACCAACACCAACACTTGATCACACCAACCACCGTCTCTACTGGCTACAGAGTGACTTCTCCAGATCTCTGTTGAGAATCCTCTATCAGCCTTTGGCTTTGATCGCTTCCTTTTGCAGTTGTGGTAACTGTACCGGATTGGGACCCAGCCTTTGACCCAGTGGCCATCTCCACCCAACAGCTCCGATCCATACCCTGATTGCCAGTGCCCCAGAGCATTGGCCTCTTTGAATAGATTCCTTTGAATCAATCCTCCTCGCCACCTCAAAAGCCATCCCTGTGCTTGAGTTGCAGCAATGACCCGACAGTCAACATTACACGATACAACAACCTTTCCATCAACCAACCATCATGCCCCCCACAGCAAACACATCCTACCCTCCTCCCTCCAGCACCATACCACCTACAGCCCACAACCACCCCTCCAACGTCCACCCCACAATCCCTCTTACAGTCCACACTGCCCCTGCAGACACTGTGCCTCCCCTTTGGGAGCCACTGCCTGCCAGTGCGTCACTTGGCCCTATCGCATGGCTCTTTGTTGGCTTCTGCCTGACATTGTTCGCCCACTGGATAGGTCATACCCTGACATGGTCCAGTCTTAGGTGCGCCACCGCCTATGGACTCTGCTGGCATCTTGCCTTGCACGACAAGGCAATGGCCGCAGCATGGGACCTGATCACTCAGACGCACCTGTAGTGGAGGTGGATCGATGATGACTGTTGTCGATCAGTGCCCTTCTAATAGGTTAAATCCTGGCTAGGCCACCGTGCTCCAGGTCACGACGGGAGGATGCACACTCCCATTGTAAGTAGAGCTGTAGAGACCTGCCCCTCGTTCATGGGGCGGAGGTGAACGGCGGTGAGACTATAGGATAGTGTAGCCATGCTTCTATGAGGCATATCCTCCTTCAGTGTTGACGCTTGGTGTGCACCGTGAATCTTCCTATCGTGCAATTCATCAATGGTATACGACTCAGCTATTTGGGCCCTCGGGCTCAACTATTGCCAGCGTAGAAAAAGGTCCTCCGGACCCAATAGGTTCTTAACCTAAACAAGTAATTAAACCCCAAGAACATAGATTAGATTAATAGATCTCTTTCGCCGGCATCAGGTTTCGTATCTTTTCGACCCTCACCATGGCCAGCTCTAATTTCTCGGATCTCGTCTCTCATGCAGTGGCATGGGAAGTGCCCTCCCCAAACTACAATGACATCCTTACTGCTGCGGGAGGCACCGCTGCAGCCAATCGTGATGTTGCCGCTCGCTCCATGAGCCAACTCTGTGTTCGTTCACCTGTCACCTTTGGCTTCGTCCTCCAAAATGATGAAACGAATATCTACATTGAACACTCTCTCTATGCTTACCCGGTAAATCCGAGCCAAGCCTCTCCTTACGACAATCTCTATGCTATTGTGGTAGGGAACGATCTTCAAAGTGCGATCACAGTTGGTCCTTCCCATGTCTGCCTTCAAGCGTACAGGTGACGTCACCTGTCACAACATGACAATCATTGACGGAGGAACCATGTTTGCTGCTGGTGTTACTGTGCTCCACAGTGGTCCTCACGCGGGCGGCGGAGGAGTCGCTGACACTGATGTTTTCTTCGTCCGTCGCGTGATGCCCCTTCCGGCCTACCTGTCTGAAACTGTCCTCGCTGCCCATCCCGAAGGACAATACAGTCTTCCCCAGTTCCGTGCGGAAGTCCTCACTCCTGAGCTCACACATGCGGATGCCGCACGACAAGCGGCCATCGCCCCCGTAGTTCAATGGTTCCGTGCCTGTTGCACCCTGATTGGAGGAGGACTGCCACCTGCAATTACGCTGCCAACGTGGCTGCTCCCATTAGCGCCAACGCGCTCCAGCGAAGTACAAACCGGGTGCTCTCACCCTACCTACCGTAGCCGTGCTTGGCGCCGTAGGTCTCGGCCTCCCCAATGCGACCTTCAATGATTACGAACTTACGTGACACACTAGAGGCTACTGTCGAACAACAACTTCAATACGACCATGAGAAGAGCAACAAGACCTTCACGGACGAATTTGGAGCTGCCTTGGCCACTCGTGTCCACAACGTCGCCGATGACACGCACCTTCCGGTCATTCACCGTCTGCTCGCGAAGTCCCCTAAAGGGAATGAGCATGGGATCCTGTAGGCTCAGCGGGATGAACGCACTCAGGCCTCTGCGCTGCCCATCAACCTCGCCAACAAGCCCCTCATCACTGGATACATTCTGGATCGTGTCTTCTGCAAGTACTTTGTGAATGGTCAAGGCACCACCCTCGGCAAAGGTCTTTCCCCCTTTTCCGTCATGTGCCAGGGCCATGCTGAAGCAAAGACGGTCCAGGACCTAGCCACTCGAGCGGGAAACGTGCCTCCGTCACCTTGGAAGATGCCATCGCCATTACTTCCACCGATGTCAAGTTTCCCACCGACGCGCGCAGCGCTGAAGAAAAGCTCTATGGCTTCTCCATTATGATAGACGTCTTCCATGGAGGAAACCATCCTGTTTCACGCTCCTTGTGCGATGTGGCCCTCTCCCTGGGATCCTACCTTCACTCCATCCATAGCCTACACACTGACAACCGAAGTGTGGCTGTGGACTTGTGCGGTCGCATTCTGTTTGAGGTCCAACAAGATTACTTCTTATGGGTCAACGAATCCGGGCGCTGCTGCCCCCAACTTTGGAGGACTTACTAGGCTCGTGCAGTCCTCTCGTACCTCTTCTCTCGCCGAGCTCCCTGCTCACTAGTACTCGTTCTTCAAGCCCGCTCCCGAACCGCCTAGCAAGAAGTCTGCCAGAGGAAACCAACAGCGAGCGGGAGCACAACCCATCACCAACGTCCATGGAGATGAGGACCTCATGAAGCGTTTCCAGGACTCTGGGTTCCGTTCCACCACTGAGATGACCAAGGACCACCAGTACACTGTCCCCAAGCACAGTGGGCAAGACGTCTGTATGGCCTGGGCTCTCAAAGGCAGCTGCACTTCTGGATGCAAGCTGCCACCCACAAGCAATACTCCGCGACTACGGTGCAGAAGCTCCACACTCTCTTCACGGACTGTGGAGTTGCTAATCCACAGCCATGAGTTTCCACACCTGGACTCGCCACCCGTATTGGAGCTCCTGATCCAATCTCGGTGGCATCCATGCCTCGCCAGCAGTTTGGCCTACGCCCATTTGATCGCGATGTCTCTCCTGTGAAACCTCCAAGGACCAACAGGAGCACTCCTGCTCGCAAACAACCTTCACACGACGACTCTACCACTTCTATTCGCCCTCTCACACGC